TTCATGCTGGAAGGAGCATCCTCCCTACTGGGAAGCTGGGTACCTGTGGAGTTGGGGTCCCACTTCCCTGTGCTGGGCATCTGTGCATCTCTAAAGAGGGTCTCTCGCCAAACTGGATTGTCTTGGACTGGATTAGAGCCTCTTTATCCTAGCTTAACGTATAGGAAATCCCAGAAACAGCCCTGAAGGAGTTTGCTCGTGAGAGCTTATCCGTGCTTAGGGGTTGCATTCATTTAGCTACTTCTGCATCCATTTTTAGTTAAGGGCAGCGCAGCTTTAGGGACAGTGGAGACTTTGTGGGGAAGGAAGACTGTGTGGTTCTTTGTTTTCCCATTAACTTGGTCTGCTTGGGAATTGCAGCCCTTTAATTAAACCAGTGCAGTATGGACTGGCCCCGAGGTGCTATTCTGAGCCTATTGCATTCACATCTGCTTTTGGGTAAAACTTGGCCCGTTTGAGGTTAGCCTGCACTATTGTCTGTCTAAGAGCAGGAAGAACCAGAAGAATCAATCACTTGGGGGCACACAGCGCGCACCGAAGGGACACACGGTGTGTTTTACCTCCCTCTCCCTCCCGACAGCCATCGTGTGCCATCGGCAGAGACCGGGGGAGCCGGCAACTCGCCCTTCCTGGGGGACGTGGGGAGCCACGCGGCGCAAGGATTTAATTAACCAGCATATGGAGAGCTAAGGCGAGTGCTGGACCCCGCTCAGAGCCACCACTGAGAGCTGGAAGGCGGTGATGACAGCCCAGTCCCTCCCCTGCTGGTGTTTTAAGCTGAGCTTCCCCTCCTCCCTTTTGAGTTTTGCTGGTAAAAGGCTTGGTGTAAACTCCTCCAGAAGAAGCGGGCAGGCAGGAATGCCGTGGGCAGCGATCTGTGCCCGTCATCTGATGTTTTTGTCCCTGTGGCATTTGTTTGGGTTGAAACCAGGGAAGTTAGTGCATCTGCATCGCCGGCAGCGTGTACAACAGCCCCACTGTCGCCAAAAGGACACGGAGACTGGCAGGGACAAGTCAGTTATTTGGGTTCCCCCCCCACCCCAACCAAGGGCTGGACCTTGCAGAGTTATTTTTAACAAGATGGCAGAGTGAAAAAATGTTTAGGTTGTCCCTTAAAACTGTATAATCCACTGCGAGTGCCAGTAGAAGCGCTGAGGAAGGCAGTAGGTTCGTGTAAAACGTTCCCATCTCTACCTTCATTAGGTGCAGGGACAATTAACAAGGAGGTTTAAGGCTTGTGATGCCTGTGCTAAAAGCAAGCTGCTGGCCCTGAGCACAGAAAGCTGTGTATCCGCACCGCTGACCCTGGGAACAAAGGATCCTCCTGAACCCAAACATGTTTGTGTTAATCCCGGCTGCTTCCTGGCGGGCAGCGAGAGGAAACGGAGCCACTACCTCTAACAGATGTACAGTGAGGAGATTACAGTGTGCGATTAAACACCCTCTCCATCACATCCTCCCCTCCGCCGGCCCAGCCCGGCGCATTAATGGCCTGTCCCAGGCTGCCTGCCAAGCTCGGGCAGATGTAAGAGGCAGCAGATACTTCATCTCCCGCCTCCGGGCCTGCTTCGGAGCCGTTGGCGAATGCCAAGGCTTCTGCAAACACCCTGCCCCTCACACCAAAAGCCTTCACTGCCTTCCCTGGACCTGCCTGCGAGGAGGAGTGGGCTGGGGAGGAGACATATGGAGTTCACACCATCCAGAAATAATTAATTTAACTGAAAAGCTGTTAAAACTAAACCAAAACGTGCTTTCCCGTGTCAGGTATCCCTACATGAGTAGGCCAGGGTTTGCTGGTGGACAAGATGCTGGAGGAGACATTGGGCAAGGTCTTGGCTTGGGTAGATGGACTCGCTTCTCAGCTGGTAGGTTTGGAGTAGAAGATTGCTGGGCTGGGAAGGACTCGTTTTCCCTCTTTGTGTGGGTTTAGGTGCTGCCAGTCTTAGTGCCAAGTGCTGCTCTTACAATAGAAATCATCTAGGCTGCTTGCAAAAAACCAGCAATCCTACTGTCTGTTTAGGTTAATTAATATGGTAATGGCAGAGTATGTTTCTTTATCGAACAAAAAGCTATTTCTAAAATAAAAGAACCCCCTGTGGAAATTGTAGAGATCAGAATTGTCACCATGTGAGACGTGCAAAACCCTCATCAGCCAAGCAGGTTGGCTTCGAATAAGAGTTAAAAATTTAAAAAGGTCACTTTTCTTTCCTGGGGCGAAGGCTGGGAGCTCAGTTATGGCACTGGAGCAGTTGCCTTTGTCTGCACCGTGGGCTTCCTCCCTGTGTTTGTGCAAAGAGGTTCCTGTAACTGCTGACAACGTGCCATTGTTGTGGGTAGAACAAGGAGAGAAGCCACATTGAGTTCTTCTAATGGCACTAGAATTGTCCATTTTTTCCCCTGCCTCTGTTCTGGTGAGGACGTGGCTTGGTCAGAAGCAGCACCAGGTGACACTGGGAGTTGGGAAGCCACGGGGGCATCTTCATGGGGTGTGTTGCCCATGGGTTTGCAGTTCTCTGTAGCCAATGCGTCTTGGGAGGGATGATAGGATGAGGGGTAATGGTTTTAAACTGAAAGAGGGAAGATTCAGATTAGATATCAAGAAGAAATTCTTCACTCTGAGGGTGGTGAGGCACTGGCCCAGGTTGCCCAAAGAAGCTGTGGCTGCCCCATCCCTGGAGGGGTTCAAGGCCAGGCTGGATGGGGCTTTGAGCAACTTGGTCTGGTGGGAGGTGTCCCTGCCCAGGGCAGGGGCGTTGGAACAAGGTGATCATTAAGGTTCCTTCCAATGTGAACCATTCTGTGATCCCAGAAATGCCCACAGCTGCGGTAGCACTCGCTGTGGGGCAGTCACAGCAAGCTGGAGAACCCCATACCTGTCTCATGCCATCCCAGCACATTTGGGAATCTGCTTCCGTGCCTCTTCCTTTCTCCTGGGTGTAGGAGACATACTTTGGCAAATAGCAGCAGCCTCAACTCTGGGTGGGGAGCAGGGAGAAGGTTGTTTTTTTAAAGAGCTGCACCAAGGAGAACGAGGACGATGGCAGTAACAAAAGGCAAAAGGGAATGACTTGGTAGGGAAGTCTAAGCAGCCCCATCTGCTTTGGAAGGGCATCGTTTCTAATTCGGCAGCGAAGGAGGCTCCTGGAGTTAAGTAATTGGGAATAGTAGGCTCCTGGCTGGAAAGTGTGCCAACCCTTCTGGCAAAAAGCTGTTAAATCTTTGTTGCTGGCGTGTGAAAGTGGTTCTGTGTGGCAGGGCTCCAAAGGCTGGTTTTAACCCTTGATGGATGTGAAAACAAATCCCAAACCTACAGCGCTTTTGGTTTGGGGCTGGCATGTGGCCTGGTGTCAGGAATAAAAGGGGAAAGGTGGGTCCTCATCCAGGTACGTGAACGGCTCCAAATCTGGTCCTCCCGTGCCAATAACAGACAGACCTGGCCTGGAAACAACCGTTCACAAAATGGTGCCTGTTTTAACAGCTTTAGCAGGAAAACACAGGGTACGATGAATGATTCATGAGGATCAATAGAACCAAGGCATTTAACGCCCCTTAAAGCCGGTGTCTGACTGCCAACGGGTGCATTTGCAAGGTGAGAGATCACAAAATCCTTTGCTGAGCTTCTGGGACATGGTCACACGCTCGTCTCTCCTTTTACTACAGCCTGCAAACGTGTCCGGCTTCCCAGCCGGGACGAGGAGCCTTTAATTCTCCAGATGAAAGCACAAGCTGTAACGCATCTCCCAGCGAGCACATAAATACAAACCAGTCAACATTTTGCACCCCCTCCCAGGGGTGGCTTCCTTGGAAGCTTTGGTCTTCGTCCTGTTTGTCTGATTCGCGATCAAAAGAGTTTTGCTGCCTACGTGTGTTTTTAAGCAGTTGTTTGTATCGTATCTCGTATAAACGGCCAATTTCTTCATTAAAATTAACTGGAGGTAATGCAATCAGAAAAGATCTGTCTCTGCAGTCGGTGTCTTTCTCTAAGAGTGTCACCAGAGCTGGGCTAAAGCTCTTCTGGGACCTTCTTTGGTGTGGAGGGGATGAGGATGCTTCACAGCCATACGGGTTTTCCTGCCAGGGGGAGAAAGTTGGATTTTTAAAAGCCTGAGCCCCAGCCATCCTGAAGATGAAACAGTTGGATTGTGAAACGTGTACTTTTTCCAAGTTTGATTTGGATGTTTTCTAATCTTCCTCAAATTAAAGGAAAAATCTCTTGTTTGACCCAAAACAAAATGATGTTTTCTTTGGCTAGCCGAGCGAGAAAATCAGCTCTAACTCTAGTCTTAGTCCAAGTTCCTTGCCAATAGTTGCCTCCTCAGCTCTCCTGCTCCACACAGCTTTACCAGTCCCAGATTAAAGCCTCTTTGCTACACACTTTACAAGAACAGTAGGGTTCAGTCACTCTCTCTAAGTTTAGTTCAGCCATTCTGGTTAAATTCGTAAATATTTGTTCGTGTTCCACCTCTGGTTTATGGACAGGTGTCCACATCCTGTGTTTTTAATCTGTTTACTCACAGAAACTGCTGTAACTTTATTTTGTGAGGTTTTAGAAAGCATAACATGGATTTGCTTGTATGCACGGGGGAGCAGAGGTTTTGAGGCAGCTGCGAGGCTTCCATCGCTGCTGAATTAGAAGCTCTTTGTGTGAAGGGGGAGGATTTGGGTCTGGAAACAGATGAACTTGATGTCCTTTAGCACCGTGGTTTTATCTCTGGAGACTCCTTGGGGAGGTAACCAGAGAATGTGGTGGTAGTTCTGTGAGTTTTAGGTGAACTCAGATTTACGGACTCATTTTGTACCTCGGTTCTTTTACCTTGGAAAATCCTTGGCTCTTTGTCTTGACAGACTCATTCTGGGTGGAGGACAGGTCTCTCTCTACCATCCTCAACTGAGAACTTGCAGCATTTTGCAGGGGGAAGAGAGGAGAATTTTTCCAACTCCTAATGCTGTTAGCAGTGTGCTGGGTCTTCTCTTTCTTTAATACCTATCATCTTCCTTAGGAAACGTGTCGGAAGTGCCAGGGGCTGTGGAAGGAGCACATGAACCTCACCTGTGAGCAGCTGGCTGAGAAGGATGACATCAAATACAGGACATCCATGTGAGTAAACCCCACAACCAGGCAAAAATGGGGAGGTGAATGAACTGGTAATAGCAAAACACTCTGGTTTGAAGGGGGGTGAGAAACCCCTCTGTTCTTGTGACTCGCAGAGACCCCAAAGTTCTGCTGGGTATCACTACCTTCTGTCAGGGGGGCACTAGGGACCTCAAAGCTGAGGGGTCAGGAGGCACCCAGGATGGGATTTCTTTCCGCGAAAGATACTTGGCAGCAGATCCAGCTGGTAATTCGAGGACGTGGGAGAGTTGTCACCAGACCAGCCTGTTCCTCTGGCTGGCCCAGCGTCTCGCAGGCTGGCACCTGGTCCTTCTCGGAGGTGAGAAACCCCCATCAGTGTTGCTTCAGGGGGCAGAAGGGAGGTGTTGCTCAGAGGCAGGGAAGTGCATTGACTCACAGCAAGTCATTATTGCCCTTTGAAAACCTAGACTGGTGACGAAGCGTGCTTTGCTCAGCTTCTACATTCTGGTTTTGTGGGGGGGGATGTGTTTTCTTACAGAACCTTGTCTCTGTTTCTAACCAGTTTGTAGAAATCATTACAGAATGGAGTCACATTTTTAAATACTCAGGTGTAAATCTTGAATGTTTCCCTAAAATCTTATGAAGATTCGTCTCTCTCATTGCTACAGTAAATGACAAAGTCCTCTGCCTTTAGGAAATAAGGGAAGGTTCATCCATGGAGCTGCATGTCTGGGGCAGTGGAATGGGACTTGCCAGTGTTGCCCAATCCTTTCCCCTCTGATTTAGAGTCTGTCTGGCATGAGGAGAGGCTGGAAAGCTCCACTGCTGGGAGCCTGAATGACTGTTGCTTGCTCATCCCGCAGTCCCTAATTCAAAACAAAATCTTATTACATGTTTGATATGACTTTTTCTCTCTGCCACTCCTTTCCCTGTAGGAAAGAGGGGTGAGAGGGAGGAGGAACGAGTTGTCATGTCCCTAATAAGGAAAAATTAGTTCAAAACCATTAGTAGGAAAGTTGCTGTGGATAGATGAGTCTTGCTGCCTGATACAATAAAAGCTTCCTTTTGAAGCCCTGAGTAAGGAAAGGGAAGCACAGCTGGAGTTCAGGGCAAACTTCCTGCCTTGCTCAAAGTTTCCTAAAAAAAAAATCCTCTGTATCAGCAGCATCCTGTTGAGTAGCAGAGGGAAGAGCAGCTGCAGCTCAGAGGAAAGTCAGCCTCGAGTCGGGGTTTGGGTTTTTTTTTTTGTCTCTATTTTTAGCTTATCTCCCAACGCCTGGGTGTAGGTCAGGCCAGGTGTGACTGCGGGGGAGTTTTGGGAAGCTGGAAGGCGGCTGGATTTCTCACCTCACCATTCCCAGCTCCTCCAGTTGCGCTGTGGGAGCAGTTTGTGGGGCTGTGCCGTGGCCCCGTTTGCTGCTGTGATCCTCCCCTGAAGTCCCTCCCTGTCATCTCCCAGACATATGTGGACTTTGCAGGTCGGCTGAAGCAGTTGGGTGGAGATGCTTGGCGAAGGGAGATCGTTCCCCACTGCCAAAGGATTCTGCTTCTCTCCGTGAAAACACACTCTCTTTACTCTTCTGTCATCAGATTTCACTTCTAGGTTGTGAATTAAATTGTAACGTGATCTCCAGCGGTCAGAAAATTGGCCCTTAGGATGACAACTTATATTCTTAAGTCTTTTAATTAAGTGACCGAGGCTTTCCTCCATTTCTGTGCCAAAACAGTGCTGCCACGAGCTGAGCCTTGGCGCTGGAGCGTGTGTCGCTGCCAGGGTGTCTCGTGGGGACAGGGACTGGGCTTTGGCCTGGATTCCCATTTGTGCTCCGTTGGAGTCAAACCCCTCTCTTGAACCTTAAAGCTGTGACTTCTGGAAAATGTATGGCGGGAAGCTTAAGAGAAGAGGGAAAGCCCAGTCTCTGTGGGGAAAGATGTGATTATTTTTCAGTTACTGATTTCAATTTAACAAAAACCAAATAAATCTGGAGTGTAGCAGCCAGGGTTGGGGGGAAAAAAAAAAATATATATATATATAGTCATGGCAACTTTGTAGCCGGAGCAACAGGCAGACATAAAACTAGCTGGCAGATGACAGCCAAGGGTTTGCTTTTCCTGAACTTTATCTCCCGAGCTGTATTTCTCTGCAGCCAAGTCAAGCATCCGTGTGCCCTTTGGCCCTTCGACTTACGGCTTAAATTCCTCCCAAGCCAGAGCCTGGCGCTGCCGGCGTCTTGGCTCGCATGGAAACCGGGATGGGGTCTGCAGAATGCAGCCACTGATTGACTTTCCTTCACTTAATTTGTTCTTGAGTCGCCGTGGGTTGGCTCCAAGTGGAGCTGAGCCCAGACCTCCTTGGAACAGCGGTGGACCATGGGGATGGCGTAGGAGGAGAGATGCTGGGAAAGGGGGGGGTTAAAGCATCACTGGGGTAGTGTAATAGTAATTTTACCGCAGGCTGGTGACTGCAAACATCCCTTCTCTTAATTCTTCTCCCTCCTCTTGCCTTGCAGAGAAGAGAAGATGACAGCTGCCCGAATTAGAAAATGCCACAAATGTGGGACCGGCCTAATTAAGTCAGAGGGTTGTAACCGCATGTCCTGCCGGTGCGGTGCCCAGATGTGCTACCTCTGCCGGGCTGCCATCAACGGCTACGACCACTTCTGCCAACACCCCCGCTCGCCCGGGGCTCCCTGCCAGGACTGTGCAAAGTGCTCTCTCTGGACGGATCCCACAGTAAGTAACGAAGGACTTTTGTGAATGATTCCCTCCCCCATCTCCATTCCCGCTCCACGCCAGCGCGTTGAAGTACGCGCCTTCCACCAGAGGAAAACGGCTGGGTTTAGACAGCTCGACTCTTTTTTTTCCTTTCCCAAGGCAGCTAAAAACCACACTGGAAGCCTGCATCGGCACAGAGTCACATCTGACCACAACTTGGAAGGAACTGGTTGTTGCTTTAGGGAAAAACAGCTCCTGTTAGACGAGGGCTTTGTTTGGAAGCGCTCGGAGAGCCGTTCTGGGGGAGCGGGGCTTGTGGAAGGAGCTGGTGTGGGGAGTGTGTGCTGGTGGCAGGCACTGAGATTATTGGGACTCGTTCCTAATTGTGCAGCTGAGATGCTTTGCCTCTGGAGGCAAGGGAAGTCGTCTTGGTGGTTGGATCATCTGCTCGTTCTGAGAGCAGAGAGAGGGAGAAACCTCCTCGGAACAAGGGTCCAAAGTCACGGTTGGGTCCATTCTCACAGCTGTTACCAACAGCTGCAAGGGGAGAACTGAGGCACGGCCTGAGCCGTAAGGGGAAGCTCCAGTAACTTAATACAGCTCGTGGCTGTGCCAAGCCTGGGAAAACCTAGTGCAGCATCTCTGTAAATAGAGGTCTTGGACACCAGCAATCCGGAAGGCGCGTAGGTGGGAGCGGGAGTTGAATTTCCTGATTTCAGCAACCAGTGGGGCAACGTGAATGTGGATCTGCCTTCCCAGGGCTTGGCTTGGCTGAGCTTTGTTTTTCCCAACGTGTCTTTATCTCAGACTGCTGCAGCTTCCCGGAGCCTGGTTCCAGCCCCTCTCTCTCCAGGTGATATGAGCAACCCTGTGTTTCTGTGAAGCCAAGGAAAAGCCACTCTAAATCTCTCCCTCCTCCCCACAGGCTCTTGGGGATCTCCCAGCAGGATCCCAATCGCTGTAAACTTCCTACTCCTCTCCTCGCCTGCCTTTATTCCCTCCCATCAATCCCGAGGTGTTAAACTAAGCAGAGACACCTCCTCCTTGGCACCCCTGTGGTGTTTCCAACACCTGGCTGTTGCCTTCCCTGGATTCCTGTCCCACTCCTCCCCCTTTTCCAGCAGGATGTGAGACTCAGGGGTCAGCAACGCTGGTGTCCTTTGTTCCCGTCAGGCTGCTGATTGTGCTGGGCGATGGCATTTGTTCAGAGCCAGAGAAAACATGAGGCCTCTCAAAAAGCTCGTACTGTACTTTAAAATAAATAAATAAATAGGCAGCACAAAGAGGGCACTGTCACCAGGCCCTTTCCAGCTCTCTAATTAACCAATGTTGTGGCAAAGAAAAATTTCCCACCGTCAGCACAGAGCTGGCACTGCCTGCTATATTTTTTTTTTCTTTATTTTTCTTTTTTTTTTTCCCCTTGTGGATGACGGAGCAGTGGTGGGCTGGGGAGTTGAAGCTGGGTGACTGACCTCGCTGCGGTGCAGAGAACAAGGAAAAGCCACTCTAAATCTCTCCCTCCTCCCCACAGGCTCTTGGGGATCTCCCAGCAGGATCCCAATCGCTGTAAACTTCCTACTCCTCTCCTCGCCTGCCTTTATTCCCTCCCATCAATCCCGAGGTGTTAAACTAAGCAGAGACACCTCCTCCTTGGCACCCCTGTGGTGTTTCCAACACCTGGCTGTTGCCTTCCCTGGATTCCTGTCCCACTCCTCCCCCTTTTCCAGCAGGATGTGAGACTCAGGGGTCAGCAACGCTGGTGTCCTTTGTTCCCGTCAGGCTGCTGATTGTGCTGGGCGATGGCATTTGTTCAGAGCCAGAGAAAACATGAGGCCTCTCAAAAAGCTCGTACTGTACTTTAAAATAAATAAATAAATAGGCAGCACAAAGAGGGCACTGTCACCAGGCCCTTTCCAGCTCTCTAATTAACCAATGTTGTGGCAAAGAAAAATTTCCCACCGTCAGCACAGAGCTGGCACTGCCTGCTATATTTTTTTTTTCTTTATTTTTCTTTTTTTTTTTCCCCTTGTGGATGACGGAGCACTGGTGGGCTGGGGAGTTGAAGTTGGGTGACTGACCTCGCTGCAGTGCAAAGAGTAACGTGAAGAACCATTGGCTTCTAAGGCTGAAATGATGGATACCTCTGTGTGTTGTCCCCCTTCATAAGAGGCTTAGGGACACTAACCTGGTCCCACCTGGGTGATCTGCACTCTCATGCGGGATATAAGCAGGAGTTTATATGATGGGTGTGAAGGAGGGCCACAAAAATGATCAGAAGGAGATACCTCTGTGTGTTGTCCCCCTTCATAAGAGGCTTAGGGACACTAACCTGGTCCCACCTGGGTGATCTGCACTCTCATGCGGGATATAAGCAGGAGTTTATATGATGGGTGTGAAGGAGGGCCACAAAAATGATCAGAAGGAATGGAACCACCTCTCCTGTGAGGACAGGCTGAGGGAGTTGGGGTTTTCCAGCCTGGAGAAGAGAAGGCTCCAGAGAGACCTTGTTGCAGCCTTTCAGTACTTAAAGGGAGCCTGCAGGAAAGGTGGGGATGGACTTTTTATCAGGGTCTGTTGCGGCTTGTTGCAGCCTTTCAGTACTTAAAGGGAGGCTGCAGGAAAGGTGGGGATGGACTTTTATCAGGGTCTGTTGTGATAGGACCGAGGGGTAATGGCTTTAAACTAAAAGAGGGAAGATCCAGCCTAAATACAAGGAAGAAATTTTTTACAATGAGGGTGATGAAACCCTGGCCCAGGTTGCCCAGAGAGGTGGTGGATGCCCCATCCCTGGAAACATTCCAGGTTGACTTGGACAGGGCTCTGAGCAACCTGACCCTAGTTGAAGATGTCCCTGTTCACTGCAGGGGAATTGGGCTAGGTGACCTTTAAAGGTCCCTTCTGACCCAAACTGTTCTATGAGTCTGTTCTAAGGAGGGAAGCAAATATGACTCTTGACGTGGTATGAAAGAGCAAAAGGCCATTGTATCAGTGGTGTCTTGTCCTTTGTCAGGGATGATGCCCATCCAAGGGATTACCCCATCCCACCTCTGCTGCCTGCTGCAGTTAAGGCAAAAATCAGGTTTCTTTAAAATAGGGAACCTTTGTTCTTTTCCAAACGTTTAACGTTTTCCGAGTCTGAAACGATTCTTGCGGAAGTATAAGCAAACCTATTCATCAGCTTGGGTTAAAAACAAATTAAAGGCAGTCCTCTAGGAACTGCAGCATCTGTTAGTCTTTGTCTCGAGTGATCTTGAGAGAGTAAAGCAGACGCTTCGAAATTTCCCATAATATAAGGTTAGTTAAAACCTTCTCCCTGCGCTGTAATCAGGCTCGAGCCTAATTTAAAAGTCTTGCTGCATTATTTGCTGGCTCCAAGACAAGCTGCAAATCAGGCTGTGGTCAGCAGCTCCCAGGCTGGCGGGCAGTAATCGCTTAATCACCGCGCTTCTTCTCCGGCTAATCGGTGCCCTGCGCCCCTGGAGAAGGGACCAACACGGGCCAGGAGCTCTTGGCACTAAGATGCTTGGCCAAAAGTCCTCGTGTGCCTTTTCCTCCAGCCCGTGCTGGTTTTGGCTCCTCTCCCCCGGGCGCCGCTGGCCGCAGGAGGGGCTGATGCAATAATTGCCAGGGACAAAGCTTGGGGACACGGCAGTGAGATTTGGCTCGGCAAACAGCAGGCTCCAGCACGTGGGGGGGTTGTGTTTTCCCCTGATTTTTAAATATCTGTAGGAAACCTGAGGCTGATTGTGTGCGTTTTCACCGGTTTCTACAAATCCCCTGATGCCATTTGACTGATGCAAATTCTGACTCTTTGGATAAACCGGGTTCTGCTCTCGCGTGTATTATTTTTAATTTAATACTCATCTCTGGGCTATCAGTAATACTGCGTAGCGGCTTTTTTTTTGGGCTTTAAAGTTTAAGATGTTTTCAGTAAACTCATAAAACGCTCCCAAATGCCCATCATTAAAGTTCAAAGCAGAAAACTAATCATTATAAGGTGTTTGCAATTATCCCTCCTCCTGGCGTTATAAACAGATGATGTTGAGCGAAGGCTGTGTAAAACTTCAAATGCATTAAGGAAATGCATGCCTTTAGGATTCGGGGTGGGAAGCACCCCTACATTTAGGGTGTTGGTTGTATTTTTTTTTTTTTTTTACCGTGTTATAAAATGCCTTAATCACAAGCATACGCTTAACCCGCCGTATTCCCAGAAAGCCATCAAGAAGGGAATGCCTGGTGCTAAAATAACTCTGCCTTTCTCCAAAATGCCAGTGTGTGCTTCGTCCCCATTCCTGCCCCCTCCTCCTCCTTTTTCCTGCAGCGCTGCGGATGCCCCGTTCCAGTTCCAGCACATCCCTCTTTCATCCCCTGCTTCCTGCTGCAGGGAGGAACACGCCGGAGACAGCCCGTGCCTGCTCTTGCTCAGCCTCTCCCCAGCTGATCTGGGAATGATTTGAAACAAAAAAAAAACCTCTTTAGTCTTCTGGAAGCCTCCGTCGTGAAAGAAAAAAAAAAAAAAAAATCATTTCAAGTTGATTAGGAACTGCTGCGGCCACACGTACGTGGAAAAAGCCAGCAGTAAAAAGCCAGGAAGGGGGGAGGCAGTTTTGGGGAAGGCACTTTCTAAATTCAGGGGAGGGGTTGCGCAGCCCAGAAATAGTTACCAGGTTTCTTGTTTTCCCTCTTTCAGGAGGCGGGCAGCCCTTTTCCCCTGACACTTAATAATTAAAGATAACGAGAAGCACAGCAGATAAAACCAGAGCTTTCAAAAGCTTTGTGGATGGCACTTTTGTTCTGGGCAGAGGAGGCTTTATTGGGGGGGGGGGTGTGGTGTGTGGGTGTCTCTATGGGATTTGGGGGGCTTTCATCTCCTTTCGTGCGGGATTTTCTTCT